GGGTCCCGCTCCATAAACCCTGGCCAGCCGGGAAGCTGCAGACTTGGCCGTGTTGACACAGGGATGATGTCACCAACAGCCAATGGAAGCCTGCTGGGCTCTGCGTACACCTCCTTGCATCTCACAGGCCCTGCCATGCACACAGCGTGGTCTGAGTGCCACCTGAATAAACGAGTCCTATCCAGTACCCTATGGGTCCTGCTCCCCCAGGCTCCATCCTCAGTGCATTCCCAAATCCCTGCCTTACCCTGGGCCTGCTGTTCTTCGGGTGTGTAGGCCCCCGAAAGCTGGACCACCCCCCACCCAACCTTTAACCCCACAAGCCGCTGCTCCTCTTCTGTGGTCCCACCTGGCCACCATGCTCCCCACCATACACTGGGGCCTACCTCTCCCACTGTCGCCTGGCCCTGACAGGCAGTTTTGGAGCTTGCTGGTCCATGTACCCAAGGCTGGCCCCAGGCCCAGTGGCATCCTTGGACCTGGAGGAAGGGCTAGGCCCCAGGCAACCTTGTGTTTCCCTCTCTGTTGAAAAGTGGACTGTCCCAGACCTCCCACCATCTTCCAGTCCCCATGTTGAGTTTCTCACCCCAGGAAGCTTCAAATCCAGTTCTGGTCTTCACAGACTTCTCCATCCTTGTGGGTGCCCATTAGACCCACCAATCTGCCTCTGTGACCCCTGTAAACCTCTCTTCCCCCCAGTTTTGGGGTTCAGGATCAGTGCTTTGGCCCAGCTTCCTGCCCCCAATCCCAGTGCATCCTCCTCTTGTGGCCTGGCTCCTTGGGGTCTCCCATGGGAGCCTGCTTTCCAGGCAGGAGGACTCCTGCAAAGTATGAGGCCCACGGCTGGCCTCCTCTGTGTGCCTGCCAGCCCCTCTCCCTGGTGCCCGCAAGATGCCTCTCGAGGAGCTCACTCTATGCCCGCTGTGTCTTGTGCCCTGGGGCTTGGCACGTGCTTGCGTGGAGGTGTCTCGCGGAGATGGGGCAGGAGCCTCCTGCGCTTGGCTCCCGCACTTGTTTACGGGTCCGGTCTCCACCGTGCGCCGCTCCCCTCGGACCGACTGCCCGCCCGTGTCCAGCCAGGTGTGGGGTGATGGAGCGGGGCTCCCTGAGGACAAGGAGCACAGTGTCTGCTTTATTTGCAGCTCGGCGCTGACAAGGAACAGAATACCCACAGTGACTGCTTCCAGGAAACGGCTGTGGGGCGGGTGGGAGCCTCGGGAGCAGCCCCTTCCCAGCAAGCCGGCCTGCAGGTGGGCTTCCAGGAAGGGGGCCCCACCGGCGCCCCTCAGCCTGGAAAGGGGCCAACAGTGTCACCAGGAGCAGGCTGGAGGACTGGAGGAGGGGTGTGGAGGGAAGGGGAGAGCAGAGGGGAGGGAAGAAGAGGGTGGGTAGGCCTGGGCTGAGCCCAAGTGGTTACTGCAGCCTCAGGGGAGACCAAACCTGACCACGGTTCTTTCTAGAACTGTCTAGTCCCCATTTTAGGGGGTTAGGCAGTCTTTAATAAGGCCTCAGTCTCTTGGGGGATTGCTTGGCATCTCACACATACACCCCCCCCACACACACACACAAACACACACACTCACACCTATGCCTGTGCAGGGGACAGATCTTGGAGCTCAAATTCAGGTCTGGTGCTGGCGAGTGACTGAGCCCTCCAGGTCACCCTTGCTGGAGGGGCTGCGTAGGGCTGCAGACTGGATCCACTGACCCCTGGTACTGAGAGCTCAGCTGCTACTCTATGTCTGGAGAGTGCAGACCATTTGTCTTCCTGAAGCTTAGCCCTCCTTGGACTCTACCGTGTATGTTTTGAGACTTCCCAGTTCATTTGCCCCGCAAAATCCCTGTGGCCCTGTTTCAGGGACTTCATTTCCTTTCTAACCCTGGAATTTTTTGCCTTCTCTCAGTGCTATTGTGAGTGCCCTGACCTCAGTGATCCATAATCCTTGCCTGAAAACTTGCTCTTGGGTCTCTAAGTTCATGCTGAGACATGAGACACAAAGGCACAAAGGCACAAGGCATACACAGCAGGCTTGGAGTTCACTCTCAGGGGACACTGCCCCACACGGGACCATGACCACACCACATGCCCACAGAGCATCTCTAGGGGACCAGAGACCACACCCTGGGCTCAGCCTCATCACTAGCAGTCACAGCCAGCTGGTCGACACACAGTGAGCTGTGGAGACTCTCACAGGCACAGATGGGTGTGCAAAACACACGCCCATGGACAAGAAGACAGGAAAGGCTGAGTGGCCTGTGAATATACATTGGCCACATCGAACACACAAGGCAGAAAAGTCCCCAGGGCTGTCTATGGGCATATGCACCACCGGTGTGGCCACACTTTAGGCAGCAAGTCCTCTCATCTCTAATGGGACAATGTGGCCTTTGCTCAAACTAAACTCACACACACACATGGGCAGGCAGGGGTCCAGGTGTGAAGATCCTTAATAGAGTGAAGGATGTGGCTGGGGTCCCTGCCATTGTCCAGGGACAACTCCCACTTGGGAGTCGAAACGTCTTTCTCTAGGTTTTCAGGCACCATGGCAGCTGACCCCTCCCCATCCTACTCTGGGCTGGGATGAAATTCAAGCTCCTGTTTGCTTCTCAACACTTAACTCAGCACAGGGGTATTTTGAAAGTACTTTTGGGTGGTGGGGGCTTGGAGCCTGTCTAACAACCCTCTCTAAGCCCCTTTTCTAAAAAGCAGGAAATCGGGTTGGGCCAAAGGTAAACACATTCCAATCTGGCGGTCCTGGGCTCAGATGGAGGGGCTTTGTGTGTGTATGTTGGGGGGGGGTTCTTTTCTCCCAGCCCCCATCATGTGCAAGGCTAAGACTCAGGACCCGCCACACACCTGTTTGCAGAGCAGTGATACCTTGGCCTGTGGCTTCATGCCTTGGCCTGCCTGCACCCCAAGATGCTGCCCCTACGTGCTTCTTTCTCCCCACCTCCAAAGCCCTGCAGGACCCAAAAGCCTCTAGGATACAGCTCCAAGGACAGCCCCAGGAGTCCACTGCAAAAGCACAGCTAGTATGGGCAGGCCCAGGGGTTGACCTTGTCCCTGTACATACCTTTGATATCCCAGGGGCTGGAGGAGGTGCTGATGGGTATAGGTATCCACAGGCAGGGATGGGGGACATTGAGGCCTGCTAAGGGGTCTCAGTCTCTCCCTCTAGCCGGGTAGGGAAAGAAGCAATTCCATGCTCATCACCCTTGAAGCACTCACATTCCCAAACTTATTTCTGAGTACCTCAGGGGGACTCTGTAGCAAGTACTATGTAATTTCCAGCCATCTCTAAGGGTGCTAAAGCACAGATGCAGCTCAGGTCCAGCATGCCAGGTTCCGCAGATAACCAGCAGGACACAGTCTCAGAGAGCTGGTTCAGGGCCCTTTCCCAGGCCCTTTCCTGTTCAGAGACTCAGTGCCTTATGTTTCCAGACAAGGCTCCTGGGCCCACCCCACCCACTCTTCTCACCTCAGTCCTTGCACCCCACTAACCCCAGAGCCTCTGGGCCCATGGCCATTCCAGCCAACACAAAGTAAGGCAGCTTTTATCTTCCAAGCCTGGCTTTGTAAATCTTCAGCTGGGCCGGTGTTCACTGTAAAAGCCTTTATAGGTGGCTTCCTGACATGTACTGGGGCAAGTCTCTGCCAGTGGAATTGAGAGAGGAGAGGTGGCTTCACCCCTGCATGGCTGGCCAGCTTTTGAAATCCCCTGTGCCTAGTGGTCTTAGCCCCACAAATCTGTTCTGGAACCCTTGCCCCAGAAAATGCAAAGCCATCATGAATTGAAAGGGAGCAAGAGAAGGGTCAGATGAGAGAGCAAACTCATGGGGCATGTGGAGTTAGCATGGGCTGAGGGGCCTGGGGAGAATGGGAACTCGGTGCCCTGTGTAAGTGTGGGGTAAGGGGTGTGCCTCAGAGCTGTTCCTCATTTCTTTTTTTTTTTCTTTTTTAAATTTTAGCTTTTATTTTTGTTGGAAACAGGGTCTCTCTACATAGTCCAGACTGACCTCGAACTCATGACAATCCTCCTGCCTCAGTTTCTCAAGTACCAGAATGATAGGCATCTACCACCGAACCTGATTCATGTCTTTTCCAGTGTCTGCACAGCCGAGGGCCTGGCCTGGGAGTTGGGATCCTGGATGGGGGCTCAAAGGAAAAAGGGTGCTGTTTTTTAGTGCTCCTCTGAGATCCCAGCCCTCAGGGTCCAGGACAGCTGCTGTCTCTTATGAGGTGCTAACTATGAACCGGGGAGCTGCACGTGTACCCCAGGAACAAGACTGCAGTGAGGGGCTCCATTACCCTGGACCCCTTACCCTCTTCCCTCTGTCACCCACTGGACTTCTCCAGCTCCCTCATCACCTTTGGAATCATGCTGCACCCCTGTTCTCGCTACCTCCACTCTCTCTGACCTGTTTGCGTGCCTGTCCCACTGTTGTGCTCTCCCCCAGCTCCCACCCACAGCAGACTGAGGGGGAAGGGGACAGCATGTGTCTGCTCAGGCTCCACCCCCAAGTTAAGCAGCGCCCAGGGCTAGAGGACCATCTCTAGGGTGGGGGAAGGGCGATCCCAGAGGCCATTATGTATCACGTGACTGCATACCTAAACTGGCCTTTATTTTCTTAGGCCAGGATCTGGGGCTGAGGGTGCAATCAGATAGCGCATGGACCCCAGGGGCTCTTGGCTTATCATGCCCATCACCCCCTGCAGGATCCTCTGGTCTCACAGTGCCTGCTTCCATGTGGCATCTGCAACCCTCCACCCTTGATGTCTTCCCCCACCTCCCAAAGCCCTGTCACCCTGTGACCATTTCTCCCCCACCTCCCCGTGTAGTGCACCCCCGTTTCATGTTCCTCCCCCACTTGTGTCCCTTCCCTGCCTGTGTGTTCCCTCTTCCATGTCTCCCCTTCCCTCCAGCATCCTCCCCACCCCCCACCCCCAGCCTGTGGTACACCACTAGGCAGGCAGCATAAATTTCACTCCTGAGACAAAGTACTGTAACGGTATTTATTGTGGATCCAGAGCTTCTGGTGAAGCCCTGGTGGGGAGGGACACAAGGCAAGATTGGTGTCATGGAATGCTTAGAGATGGCTCGTTGGTGTGGAGCTTCCAGACTAGGTGGGGGAAGGCGAGACCTCACGCACACAGCCCACACCACACCCAGTGCCTGCCAGCGGTGGGTGAACAAGCAGGCACTGAGGCAGTGTGGTCAAGGAGGAATACACACACATACACACTCACACACGCACACACACGGAGAGACTCAATGCTGTCTCCAGGACTCCAACCAGTGCAAACGACTTAGTGCAAATTGAATTCAAAGGGGACAAGTGGGGAAACAGAGTCATGGACGCTTTGAATCTCTCAAGAAATGGAAAGAAGATGAGAAATGAAATGAGAACAGGAAAGGCTGAAAAAGAACAGAAGAGAGAGGCGATGATGACTGCTCCATCCTGCGGAAGAGGCTCAGTTCCGGGATGGCGTGTGGGGTGGTGGTCTCCCGAATGCAGCAGGGGCTGGCCATGAAGATGGAGTTGCCGGGGTGGGGAGTGCTGTGGTCTGCTCTTCCATGGTGTTCCTGAGGCTGTTCCTTTAGCTCTACCTGCAGAAAGATGCAGTGACACATGAGTAGGGGACAGGGTGGCAGGGTAGGGTGGGATAAACCTTTCAGAAGCGGCCAGTCTCACCTTCCAGAGCCGATTCCTGAGTCACTTAGTGTAGTGGTTCCGGATGCAGCATATTCTTGATCCAGAGCTAGATAGACTTGAAGAAGTCCTCAGTTCCAAGTCCCAGGCATGAGCTGGGTAGCACCATTTCTGCACAAAGGAAGAGAGTGAGTCCCAGCTCCTGCCTTTGGCCCCTGCATCCCTACTCACCTGTGGCAAGAAATACCTCACCTTTCATTTTGAGGGTTCTTGGGGGTCCAGAGAGCAGCAGTGGTAGCTCTTTCGGAAAAGCAAAGGAACAGACCTCGTGGAAGTGTCTCCACGTTGCCAGCCGAGAATGTTCTGCAGAGAACAGATTGGGGTGAGTGGGAGAATGGCCAGGTAGCTGGGATGGGGACTTGGCAGGCAGAGCACATACTCACCAGGAAGGCCAGGAAGCAGTCCCTCTGGCCTCACCATCACACCGGACCATATCACTTCCTCTTAGCGTATCTGTCGCACCTGCATCCTGGCCTTCAGGCTGGCAGGCACATCCGCCTTTCTGGAGATCTGGCTGTAGAGACAAAGAGAGGGTATTGGTTGGGTGGGCAAGGGTGGGTGAGGGGCAGGGTGACTAGTAGGTTGGGCACTCACCCTCATCTCCAGTACGAGTTGCAGAGGCACCGATCACTGCTCCGTCGTCACCTGCGAGGCCCACCTTGGCCACAGGCTCTGGAGGCCAGTGCCTTGCTGGCTCGCTCCCCGACTGTTGAACCTCACCCTGTCTGCACCCAACCTCCCTCCTAAGAGTGCTCACCCACTCCGCCCCGCCTGCCTCGCCTAGTCTGGCCTTGCCTTGTGCCCTTGACTCCCCTGGTGCTGTTCTGTCTGTCATGCCGGACCCAGGGGCTGAGCGGTTAGGGCATACAGTGTCACCAAGTCCACTGTGGGCCCTCTCCGCGCCAGGTCCTGGGCCGCAGTGCTGTGTGGGAACTGTGAATCCACAGGCTGGGCTCGCTGCAGCCTCCTTGCTGCGAAATCTCTCCGGAGCCCACCACCCATGGCCACCGTTCCTCCCCGATGATGTCCTGCTGCACTGCCCTTCTTTCCCGCTCTCCGGCCCTCGAGGCTCCAGTGCAGGCCATGAAAAGCCCACCCAGAGCCGCTCCTATACCTTCTTCTAAGTGAATTGCAGTGGGATGTGGTGATGGCTGGGGACCCCTCTGTGTCCTGTGACCCCACCCTGATGTTTGACCTGGGCCCACACGTGCTGGATCCCTGTGGCCCCTGCTACTGTCCCCAAGGTGACCTTCCTGAAGACAGCAGCCTTGGCCCTGCTGGCATCCCTCTATTCTTTCCATTCTGCCCTCTTAACTTGCTCTTTCCCCTGGGAAAGGCCCATAGCCCCCCCAGCTTTGCTCCGTCTCGGCTCCCCCCGAGAAGATGTCACCTTTGCTAACCGTTCTGCCTTCATCCGCTGCTTTGCAGGAGGCCTGCCACTTCTCCTTGCTGGCCCTCGCTCCCTAAACCTCTTTCATTCAGAAGCCAGGGAAGCGAGGTCCAGGAAGGTGAAGCGGACTCACCTGCCCAGCAGACGCAGCCCTCACCTGCCCACTGTTGCCAGCTACTTCTCCACCCAGGCTTGGGGGTCGAACCCTGACCAGCAGCTCCCCCTTGTCCGACCAGCCACCACGTCCTGTAACCAAAAATGACCGGGATGAATGTCTGGCTCCTTCTTCCTTCCCTCCAGGATCTAATCCCTCCACCTTCACCACCCTTGCCAGACTCCAGACGGCCGAGGTGCTCCTCGGCCCCTACGCCTCTCCTCCAGCACACACATCTTCCCCAGTTTCCCCCGTCCCCCCACCCTCCCACCCCCCTCCCTTACCCTGCTCTCCGGGCCCTAGCCCGGGCTTTTTCTAACTGGAGTGGCCCCGCCCAGAATTTCCTCCCCTGCCCTGCCAGCCAATCAGATCACGCCATGCCGGGGCCCCTGCAGGGCCCACCTCCGCCCTGGGCTGATCAGGCGCACGTTCCTCTCACCCCGCACCCATCCCGGAATTCTCCAAAGACCTCGTCCCCACACCCTTCCTTTGGCATCCTTTGACAGCTCCTGGCATTGTCCCTAAACGTGCCCCTCTGGGTTGAGAACATCTGTCCTCTAAGACCATTGGCTTCCCTCTGGAAGCAGTGTGTCCCCTGCATCCTTCTACACTGTGCCCAGTACACACTCTGCTGTGGCCGAAAGTCCCCAGTACGCACCCTGCTAGGACTGGAAGTCTCCGGGCATGCACTCTCCTGAAGGTCTGTTTTCGGCATGCACTTCGCTGTAACTAGGAAGTTCCCGGGCACACTGTCTCTCCTGGCTGGGGATCTCTCAGCAACAAGCTCTGCCATGGCTGAAGAGGTTCTGGGAGATTACTCTACGGTGGCCAGTGCCTGGGGTGTCCCTTTTGTTTTAGACATATGCAGAGCCACTTTCTGCCACCACTAGCCAAGACCTCACATTTTCTCTAGGGTGCTGAGTCGACAGCGGGAAGAAGTCCCAAGAGCACCTCTGCAGTGACATGAGAGAGATCAGAGCTCAGGCTTGGCTGAGTATTGTGCCGGCGCTGTGCCGGCGCTGTGCCAGCAGTCTGCCGGCACTGTGCCGATGTGCCAGGATGGTGAGCTTGGTGATCTAGGCTACCACGGCTTGTAGCTGCCGGCCGGTGTGAGCCTTATCTGGTTGATGGAGCTTGTTTTGGCAGCAGCAGCTTCCATGGCACAGTGGATGGGTGCACTCCACGATCCCCTCGCCATCCCCCTCCCAGCAGCCTGGATAGGCATGCTGCTTTGTTCCGCGGCTTGCCGGCGCTCTCTGGCAATGAGCCACGTGGTAGCCAAACAGCTCTGTCCTTCTCCCGGATTCATCCGGAAACCCAAGACTCAGTGATGGGATGAAAATCATCACCACCCTGTCCCTCCTGTCCTTACTCTCTATAGAAAAGTTGTTGCAGCCCTGTGGTCCACAGAACTTTCCCAGCAAGAGTGTTGGAGCTGTGAAGGTATAGGTCCAAGATGAACATGGCTGGGACTCATGGCCAAGGAGTCCGAAGTTAACAGTCTTGTTCACATGACAGGGTCTCAAGTGTGTATAGGGCATGCAATGACTTGGGGAAGATCCTTGGCCCCAAATGTGCTGGCTGCCGGCTAAGCACTACTCAAATGTTGCCATAGGTGATCCCCATTTTTATTGTGTAAAAATCTGAGACATTAGGGGCTGGGGATTTAGCTCAGCGGCATAAGTACCTGCCTTGCAAGCAGGCGGTCGTGAGTTCAATCCCTGGTACCAATAAAAATGAAAAAGACAAAAAAAAAAAAAATCTGAGACATCACCAGATTGGTGGACCCCATGTTAAAATAGAGATAGATCCCCTACATTTGCCATGAGAGGACTCCAGCTTCCATCACATCAGTACTGGGATGTATGAGTCTGCCCTGCCGCCTTGCGGCTACTTTAGAATCCACACTTTCTAATGGCTACATTACCGATAGGCAGGCGTGCCAGAATCGGCACCCAAGACAAATGAAAAAGACTCCAGAAACACTCTCGTGCTAGATACAGCTGCGTGGGTTTTCTGCTGTGGAAAGGGTCTCCCTCTAAAGCCACGATCCCTAATATCCAAGGCACGGGAATTCCCGAATGTTTCCATTTACCAACTGTCATTTCCCGTTATTTCAATGGTGCCGTTTGGTATATACCAGAGAGGGCTTTCTGGTGTGCCTTGCAGATGTAACCTATCCACAAATTACCCTTGTGAACCACGGCAGAATCACGGGTGACATGGTACGCTGCCGCGGGTCAACCCTGGCTTCAGCACCGTACCTTGGGCTGTGATGTATAAGACTGGACTGCCATCTCGCGGTGACATCGTCTCCGATTTTGTGCCATTTGGTGAGCGAGAAGTGCTCACTAGTTTCGGGGCTCAAGACCAAAGAAGACAACTCTATAAATGTCTGATCTTATTCTCCCTTGGTGAATCGGTGAACCACCGCACTGTCACTGCATCATTGGTAACCCGGTACATTACCGCGGGCAAACCCCGGCTTTGGCGCCAGTCACCTTGGGCTGTGATGTATAAGACTGGACTGCCATCTCGCGGTGACTTCTGTCTCTCACCCACAATCGATTTTGTGCCATCGGCAGAGCATAAGAAGCCCTCTGCAGTTTTGGGGCTCAAGATTGAAGGGGACAACGGTAGAGATGCACAAACATCATATCCCAATGACTTTAGTGAATCACCATGACGTGACACCGGCGCCGCAACACCACGGCACCACCACACCAGTACCGTGGTACCGCAACACCGGTACTGTGGTGCTGCGGCACCAGTACCACAACACCATGGGACCGCGGCACCGGTACCACAATACCATGGGACCGCGGCACCGGTACCACAACACCACGGCACCGCGGCACTGTCACCGCGGCACTATCACCGCGGCACTAGCACCACAACACCACGGCACCATGGCACCGGTACCGTGGCGCCATGGTGCTGTGGTGCCGGTACCGTGGTGCCGGTACTGTTGTGCCGGTACCGTGGTGCCGGTACCGTGGTGCTGTGGTGACAGTGGTGCCACTTGGTGCCGGCACCCTGGTGCTGTGCCGCCGGCACCGGTGGTACCAGCAGTGCAGCACCGGCACCACATCACCAACACCGTGACATCGCGGCACCGGCACCTGCACCATGGCACCATGGTACCGGCACCACGGCCCCGGCACTGTGGTACCATCAGTAATTCATGTGGCTGCCAGCAGCAAATCTTAGCTCTCATCTTGCAGTGACTTCAACACCACCTTAAGAGATGTGCACCTCTAGAAATGCACAAATGGCGTGGTGATATTGGCCAACTGTTCGGTGTGTTCTGGGTCTGGCCTCTAGCCATACAGGCTCATGGCATGCACGCGCATGCCATGTGTACTTGCCAGGCAGGCACAATGATCCCCAAACTCAGTGCAGGGAACTAGATCCTGACCGTAGCACACTAACCCTGTCAATCCTCACCTTTTGCCGATTCCTCAGACTTTGAGGTGTCCGCGGCACTCGGTTTGGCAAACCGAAGGGTCTTTGGCCGCAGACTAGCCTCGCATTACTCCGGGGCAGCCTTTCCCAGGTCTTTTGCATCTAAAGTACCCAATTAGCATTTGAAAACCCAAATCAGATGGGGAAGTTAATGCTGGGCCGCAGGGCAAAAGAGCTCTAATCTTTCCTGGAAAGGCAGAGAGAGTGTTCTTCAGCCAAAAGTTCAGCATTCAGGATCCATCTTTAGTGGGGCTGGTGCACCGGTAACAGCGGCGCAAACCACGATCACCGTATCTGGTGGAAATGATTTGTGTTCGTGCCTTCTGCCGAAAACAAGCCGAGGAGCTGCAAATATGGCCCCAGCCAGATACCTATGAGCTCACACAAATGTCCTATTCCACCTGATGACCCTTGTGAACTGCTGCGGTACCACGGGTGACCCAGAATGTCACCGTGGGTAAACCCCATCCACGGCCACTGGCTGCCTTGGGCTGCAATTTGCGATCATGCACTGCCATCTCGCGGCAAAGTCTGTCTTCCTTGGTTGGCTCCACACCATCTTGAGTGAGTGCACTCCGGTTTTGGGGTCCTAAGAATGAAGGAGTTGACTTTAGAAATCCACAAGTGTCTTTTCCCTCTGATGACCCTTGTGAACCGCTATGGCACTATGAGTGACCCGAGATGCAGCCGCCATGGCAAAACCGTGTCAACCACCTGCATGCGGGGTTGCAATAAGTGAACGCGCTGCCCTCTCGCGGCGGTTTCTGCCTCCCCATCCATAACCAATTCGGCACCATCTCGGGAGAAATGAACCTATCAAAGTCATCAGCCAAGTGTGAGAGAAGCACCGCAGAGATGTACCTACACAGGCCATGGCAGCCGCGTAAGACGCCTGTGCCGGATGCAGGCGCCATGAGAGGGGTCCCTCTGTGGCCTGGCTCAAGCATCCTGCTGTCTTTCTCACGTGAGCTTGTCTGCAGGGCTCTGGGACTTCTCCTACCTTGTTGCCAGTGCCTTATCCTTGCGATTTGGCAAGGACCGGCATCTCTTTGGCACTTTGAATTCCTGAGGAAGATTGGAAAGTTTTGCCTGTGGCTATGCTTCTAATGGCACATTTGCATGTCTGTAAAACCGAAATGAAGGTGACCAGCTGAGTGGTCTTGTCGATGAAGGGATTGCATGAGCTCTGTGAAGAGGGTTTTGGGGATTTCCATGGTCAAGTCTGGTCTGTGCCAGCCATGGTGACAGTGGGTGACCAACACTCCTATGGAGTGGTAGGCACCAGGTAGCAAAGCATGGCTGTGTTCTGTTCCTGCTGTGCACCCTTGGCCAAAGGGGTTTGCCCCTCTGGCCATGTGGGTCTGTTGGTCTGGCTATTTGGGTCCATCTCTGGCCAAGTAGATTCGTATCTCCCAGCCATGCAAGTCCCCTTCTTTTGACCATGCCAGTCCTCCTCCTCTGGTCATGTGGATCCATCTCCCCAGCCATGATAGTCTTCATCCTCTGATCATATAGGTCCACCTCCATGGTCATGCAAGTCTACCTGCACTAGTCATGTGGGCTTGTCTTTCCTGGCCTTACTAGTCTAGTCACATGGATCTTCCTTCTCTGGTTATGTGAGTCCACTTCCTCTGGCCTCTTTCTCTGGTCTCATAAATCCTTTCTCTCTGGTTACACAGGTTCATATGCCCCGGATGTATGGGTGACCTCCCTGGTCATGTGGACTCTCTTTCTCTGGCCACTCAAGACCTCCTTCTCTGGTCATGTATGTCCACCACTTCTGATTATGTGGGTCCTCC